AAGGTTGTGGAATGTTTCTGCAAATCTTAACAAAAATGGATCATAATTAAAAATTCTTGTCATTAAAATGTGTCTTCCAATTTCTTTTAGATACATCTATTCCAGACTATTGACTATTGTAACTGTTTATGACCCTTATCATATATATTCATAGGGATTTCACCCTTTTTCACAAGTGGGGCGAGTTGGCAGGAGTAAATTTAACAGGATTTAACCCTTTTGTAAGTGGGGCAATTTTTTAGAAAGTGGGGCAAGTTGGTGAACAAGAGTGGGGCTATTTTTTTAAAAAGTGGGGGGAGTTGGTGAAAGAGTGGGGCGATTTGGTTTGGGGTGATTTGGCAGTGTGGCAAGTTGTCTTGCTTCCTTAATTTTGTCAAAATAATTAATAAAACAATAAACATGCTAAAGGGAAACCTGTTTACGTTTTTATAATGCCACTTTATTTTGAAACAATAAAAAAAACTTATTTATAGCAATGCACTGACTGAAACACAGTTACAAATATTTATTCCACAAAAAAACCCAATAAAACAGGTGCAAACGTGTTGGGTGCGAACGTGAAATGGGGAACGTGAATGGTAGCAAACAAGATTTTGGGCGAACAGACCCGAATTCGTTGCCAACCTGATTAAGTTGTTATCTAGGGCGAGAAACAACAATTCCCATTAACTAAATATGTGTAATGGTAATCAACATTTATTTCACTGGTGTAGGAGCCCATAAGAGGCAATTGCCCCCCCCCCCCCTTTTAAAAAATGGGATTGGCAAAACTCTGATATTGTATTTATGTGACCTAGATATGCAGGTGACTGTGGTGAATTAAAGCAACATGCTTTTATATTCCAATTATTTATAATACGTTGGTATTAGATATTACAACAGTGTTCCAGCTTGAATCTCAGGGCAGAAGGGTGCTAGTTGTATGAAAGGGCACTTTAGCGTTATAACCCAGATTTTAAGGGCAATGTTGGACAGTGTATAAATTACCTTGAATATTGCTAGGCTCAGCTGGAGAACATTAGTTGTATTTAAACCATATTCAGAAATTAATGTTTTCTTGATGTTGGTTCCAGTAAGATTTTTTTTCCATCAAATTATCATACCATGAAGCAAAGCATATCATTTTGATGTTAATCTAAACAAACTTGTACATTTGGTATGGAAAATAATCATCAGAAATTTCAATGTTTTATAACTTATACCAAAATAAGTAGTTTTGAAAGATGGAGTTATACATGCAAAATTGAATGTTGAATGTAATTAAATTACCTACATTTAAATTACTTGTTCAAACATATAGTACATATGTTATTGAGAGTTATTTATTATCATTTGAATTGTTACAAAAAATTATTTTTAAGTGCACACCAAAGTGCTCCTCAGTAAGGAGTTTTATAAATATAACAGGTGAGACAGGAGATAATCATATTTTATATTGATGCAATTATATATTGCAGAAGGTATAAACAGTTACTTTTTTCTCCATCATTGTTAAAAATAACTTTGTTGAGTGCTCCTATGTCAGGAGGATTATAAAATACAAGAAGTATTAAAAACAGGAAGTGAATCTTGTTATGTTCAAAGTACAAATTTCTTTGATTCCTCTTTAAATTTCATACTCATGGTTATGAAACAAAACATTTTTTACCAATAAAGTCAAAACTATGTATGCCTTTAAAATTGTTTAAGATTTTATTTTTTGTGTTATGCCTACTGAGATAAATTTTTTCAGGTGTACATGCTGTACATAAACATTACAAATGGATAACATGTGGACATTTCATTCTGTATTAAATATCTAGTATTTGTTCAATTATCTTAAAGCCACTAATTAGCAGTAAACAATCATTAACAAAGGTGATAAAACTGCCAAAGCACTAGGTATTTAACTTAATCCCATTGTCAGTTAATTAGTGTTACACAATCAGGTAACAATTTAACCGGAAACGCCGGTAGGCATGAAATTTGAAAATTTTATTTTTTTGAAAAGGCAGAGGGGTGCATTCTTTTACTTTGGAGGGTAGAAGGGCGGGGGTAAGGGCACCAAGGGCCCTTCTATTTAGGGCAGGCGGGAACACTGCCAACAGTGTTAGACCATGGAAGTATTATATTGACAGGAACTCCAACAAACCGATTTCAAACGTTTATAGTGCGATGCGGCAAAATCGTTAAGTATCTGTTAATTAACTTGACACCTTTCAATTAGTCGTATCGATGCATGGGTTCAACAACGTTTTCGGGATACTCGTAATTACGGAATTTACCGAAGTAACCGGATGTATACATAAATGTCAAGGATATGACATTTAACGACCATGCCAATATTTGGCAGTTGACAGTTTTTTACTAGGTTTTCTATGTTAATAAACTATCGTCACTTACAAATATTTCACTAATCAGTATGGACGTGCACGATTTTGATGATGAAGAATTTGAAAAAATTATCGGTGAAGACATTGAAGAGTTTTATTGCTTTTGTAAATCTGAAACTTGTTCAATAGAAAAGATAAAGGCTGTACGGTGACCTATAGTTGTAAACTTCTATGTCATTTGGTCTCTGGTGGAGAGTAGTCTCATTGGCAATGTCAAATATTTCATGCATTTCAACAAAAACAAAATATTATAAATTTCTAAACAAACGCTGCAAGATGTTTCAGATATGTTAAGCCTTTACAAATACATTTAATTCTAAACTGGTTAATTCTAATGATAAAATTTTAAGAATATACTGCTTAGGACCCAGCATTATGATAGTTCTTTAAATGCATCGAAATATTTAAAATTAAGCCATTATTTCCCAAAACAAGTCCGTCAGACGTCAGAGCAATCTCGGACTAGGTTGAAGGTTGTTTTAAACTTTTGAATTTATTCAAAAGGTGTACATGTAATCGGTGTTATAACCTGATACATGCTATATGAAGAGGCCATCACGTGCGTATAATTATCCACCTCTCTTAGTGTTTAAAACATTTTCTATAAATATGTTAAATTACATTTTACGATATTTTACGATAGAGAAAACCATAAATATTTGTGTTACACTCGATTAAAGTTTTCAATCTTTAACTTAAAATTTGAGTTATCCGGCACCATCCGGCACACTACACGCGCATCACATTATTTTCTGCAAACACTCTACTTCAGAGTCATGTAATTTTCATAACCGGATATTTCCCGATTTCCTAGTTCCAGTGATAAAAACATATCAAACAAAACTAAAAATAATATTACCTTCTTTCCGAATACAGTTAACTTTCTTTTGTCATTCTGTTAAATATGGACCGATTTTTTAGATTGTTTCAGCTGTAGTCTTTAATTATTGAATAGAAACAGGTGTCGTTATTCATGTAGCGATTCTCAATTAGCCACGGGAGTTTCCGTGTTAATTTACATTGGTAGGTAGATAAGACCTTCGATAACAGATCACGTGATAAGATCAGTTTCTGTAAACTATACAGGCGAAGGCGGCATCGCAGATACCCCACAAAGAAGTTATCACGTACTTGACAAACTGAGTCGGAACCTTTTATTTTCCTAAAGAAATCAGTGGGATGCGAATGTGCTAATTTTTCGTTGGAGTTCCTGTCAATATAATACTTCCATGGTTAGACAAACCATAGATGTATAAACCCATAGATGAAGCTCAACACTGACTTCAAAGGTTCTATGTGCGTTGTAATGGCTTTCACACTTATCTGATAATGACATGAACCAGTTGGTCATTGAGATGCCGATTGACAATCTAGACAATAGAAAACTGACAATCAAAAGCTACTTAGCAGTTGAACATGCTAAAAATCAGAAAGAAATAAAATCAAAATATATATTTTAGAATGACTTGGTTATGAAAAAATAATGTTCTTGTAGGTAAAACAATATTACAAATTATTCTCGAAAAGAAATTAATAAATGCATGCGGATATCTTTTTTTAAGCCAGAACTAATGTTTTCATCATATTTACATATTTACATTTTTAGATTTTATATCATTTATCACAATTTAAATTTATTTAAACAATGTGTGTTAACTATTATAAACAAGTCTATTGAAAATATAATTAATAGAAAACATGGAAAAAGTTGAATATATGCTCCATAATATTTATTTACCAAGCTTTACATGAAATGTTTTGGTAGTATACTAAAACTCTTTACTTAAACTAATTTTATAAACATCATGAATGAAATCATTATAATTTAGCCAAAGATGTATACATCTATGATTTAGTAACTAACTTATTCGTAAAAATATAAAAATGATTTAAAAAGACAATTTCTCTTCTAAAAATGTAGAAAAACTGATGAAATAAAGAAAAGATATGTACTTTCTTATTGATTTTTTCCCAAATTCGACGCAGTTCGACACCTTAATGGAGCATATCAAGGAGAAGGTGTATTTTAGAAGTTCAACAACGTGCTATTCCCATTTTCAGGAACTCACAGGAACATAGTTTTCATAAAATATAAAGATACAAGCCTTAAAAAAAACATTTTTTAATTTAGTTCAATATTTCCCTTGTAAAATGCAAAATGCGCAATTTCTGACCGATTTCATCCATTTTTTCACCATTTTATTTGTCTGTCCAGTGCGCTAAAAATAGACATACTCTCACAACAGAAGGGACATAACTCGAGAAGATAATTAAGAAAATCTATTCTGCTGTACTGGTCAATACAGATCAACAGATAAGAGATGTAGCTCGAGTTACTTGATTGAGGACAACACACATGAAACATCAAAGACAGTCAATTTGGTCATGGTTCTTTTTATCTTACAATAGAGAACAGTAGGGAACTTTGGACGAGCTTTATCTATGGGTTTATACATCTATGGACAAACATATCCTTAGTGTCTCTTTTAGAGGACAAAATTACTGTAAGTAAAACCACAACAAAAGACCACGCCTCCTTTTTTCCTCAACATAGGTAATCTCACCTGTGCATATGTGATGGAATGTTTCTTATCTATGCATTGAACATAATGTGCATGAAAAACTTACCATTGCATAACGGCAATACCCGTCAAAGAATTCGGTTCTTGCATGACACATATACTGACATCCCCAAATGCACGTGGGAACAAAGGATTTCACTTTCACTCCCGCCACGTTCTTTGTTTCCATTCATACTTCTGTCAAAGTGTGTCGAAGGTTTTGATTGGTCCGTCACAAACCGGAAACACGTTTACAATTTTTATCAACATTTTCCATTTTCTGAAGAATTGTGCTCTATACAATTGTACAGCAAGCTTGTTTAATCTAAAGGTAAATGAAGAAATTATGCACAATTATCAGTGTAATAGTTTAAACAATATCAATTTGAAGAGCGGCATATGAAACATTATTGACAATATGATTGAAAAATTATAAAAGGGGGATGGGCATGTTTCAACTTTCCATACATACATACCTAACAACCTAACAACCTCTGTATCTTTAACCCCCTTTGTAGAGGAACCATACGCTAGTATGTAGAACTTGTGATCCGCAATTTCTATGTACAGTGATGCCTCCACCAATATGTTGCAGTGCTCTATATTTACACTTACAGTGAAATCCTACCCACACACACTTATATTAAAAATCCTTTGTTTTATAATTAAAATGTTTCTGTGCCTATCATACGGTGGTTAAAAGTCAGTCACTATATAATATAAAATTCCTTTCTTTCTTTATATATATACACACATGTTACACATTTGTTTTCGGTTCCCCTAACCGTTTTGTATACGAAGCTAGATATGCTTTAAAAGTATAACTCATTTCTGTAAGATATCAATAACATTATTCCATAAAATCATTTGTTTTCCTATCACGGTAAGATGATAAAAGAATGAGTGCCTCTTCCTCATGATTTAAAAGATATTTAGTAAAGTATTGTCTAAAAGTTATATTCTGTTCTTCTAAAAAGTCCTTTATATAATCCATATATTCATTATTGCTTAAAATTCTGTTGGCTATATATAATTTAAGATAATTTCGATATAAGATCGCACACTTTAGTATGACTATGTCTTCGTATGTCATGAAGACTGTTTGAGTGATAACAAATTTAGCAATCTATAATCTCATCTGATGACTCTACCTATACAAGTCTAAGTTGAGGCACACTCGTTTTGTGAAAGAAAACTAAAGATTTAGATGTGGACAAAATGTCAATATATCTATAATTTGGCGTATTGCAAAAATGTAAAAGTTTAAAGCATAATACATAATGTTGGATACGATAACATAAACCTGTGTCTGCTGCTCTCCTGTCCTGACAGGGTTACTCTCAATGGAGCAGCATCGAATGATTCACTCCAGGCAAACTTATTACGTTAAATAGACTATTGGTTGATACATTTAACCCTCTTGCTGCCGAGTTTTTTTCTTGCTTTGTCGCGCTAAAAGCATCAACGTTTCATATCTGTGACGTTGCAAAACTTGTGCCTCTCTGTAGAACAGCGCTTTCCCGCCGACCATAATATTTTCCACGTCAATGTAGCCGTAATTATGAAAAGCGATGTAAAAGTAATTTTATGAAAACTATTGCTATAAGATTGTTATAAATGGTGTTTTTAATACAATATTATTTAAAAATACAACTTTTAACCTTGAAATATAGTTTTTTTTTATCTTTCTTGTCTTAAAAAAAAATGAAAATAATATACCCATTGCTACTAGCTTTATAAGCGCTTTGTCAAGTGAAATGCATAACTGATTCTCAACCACCTCTAAAATACTAAAATATATTTATCCTGGTTATCCGATTAGCTTAGTAAACCTTCTTATAATAGATAAATACCGTAAAAAAATCTCTCAAATAATTATATAAACAAAACAACGACCCTCAATAAAAATAAAAATAAAAACAATGAGTGTACAAATAAAGATAAATAAAACTCTGAGCAGCCGATTCTATGAACTACTTCTTGTTGTAAAGTATCAAACGTGTCAGATTAAAATTTTTATTCCAAGCCTTGTTTCGGTAGGCGAGAAAATAATGTTTATAGACGTTTTATCCATATTCATTTTGTTTATTTTTTAATCATGTTTATTATTATTTTGTTGACCACTTATTGCTCAAAATTTTAGAGAAATGTTTGAAAATACGAATTTAAAAAAAACCCAGAAAAGCGAGGGAAGAATTTCTCTAAAACAGGGTCCGACACTTACGGTTGTCCGATTGCACGGGGCAAGCTAATGCCGTATTCGGACAAGTAAAAACATCATCTTGGTTGTCCGATCGGGCAAGTGAAAAAAAGTGTTATATGATTAAAATTTCACAAAATCAATAGTGTCTGTTGTTTTGTCCATAGATTACTCAGTGATAACACCGCACGGTTTAGTAAAGTGGTCTTAACCCCCCTTCAATGCGTTTATTTCGTCAATTGTTCGCACTGAATTCCCCATTTTACCAAAAATAGATCACGTTTAAAAATATTAGCCAATCAGGCGGCCGCGGCGTTGCTTCGTCATTATCGTTATCAATCGGGACACCACTCGGGCGTTTCTGACGCACATGTTATTCCCACCGATCAATGGAAAGCGGAGGTCTATTTTCGTTGTTCTAACTTTATAATTTGACATTGGATGTGTATTTCCCTAAAATGGAAAAACATAAAAGCTTGAAAGAGAAAATGAAATTAAACTTTAACAAATTTGTCAGTTGTTGTCAGTTTATCAAGAAGGGTTTTTTGAAATGGCATTTCTTAGATAAATTATTATGAAATAAGTATCTCTATGTAAATGATCCAATTCCCGTATATTCATCGATCTTTGCCCTCCCTCCTCGGCTCATATATGCCTCATAGTATATTTTCATACTCCATAATCAATTTACACCCCATATACATGATAACTATATTTTATCTGCATGTACTACATTACAACCACAAAAATAGCATGTAAAAGCTTGGGCATGTAGATTTCACTTTCGGACAAGTAAAAGTAATAGGGCACTTGCCCAACTGGACAAGTTGGTATAAAAGTTAATGTCGAACCCTGTAAAATTAATTTCTATTGTCTACAAGTGAACCTGAATCAATAATAATTCATTTTCATTTCCTATGATGAAGTACACACTGTAATTGGCATACACGTGACGAAATATCTTTTTGTTGATGGATAAATTGTTCTCTTCTCAACGTTCAGTGGCAAGTATTTCATGCAATATTAAGGACGTCTGAAATTTGATGTACAATAAATATGTTGCTCAGTGGGTCCTACAAAATAAAAGATCTGTGATGAATGGCTGAAAATTGAGGTTGCTACTGGGAAAGGATGATATGTAAGATAGGAAAAGAAATCATTGGGTCACCTGATCCCCATTTCGAATGAAAATAAATAGTTTTAGATTAGTGCTTCAATGATGAAACGGGTATAAAATGTATTGAAATATCGTATGGCAATACAAGTATATCGGGTAACATTTGTGTACTTTTACAAAAAAAATCTTCACTGAGAATTCAATCGCAGCATTTGAGCCCTAAAGAAATTTTCCAGTTCTCTTAAATAAAGCGTGTATTGTGAATATTAATATTTCGCGTAATTAAGTATAACAGTCACCTTTTCTATGATTATTTATTAGGAATGCTATTATTATAAGAGATATTCTGATTGAAAGATGTATGAAAAAAACGTTTAACAAATTTCTCGAAAGTACGCAACATTTTACATGAAAATGACGAACTAGATAATTAGTAAACACGTTAAATAAGTTGGCATGATAGTACTAACAAGCTTATGATCCTGTATCATTTTTTGACATCCGTTTTAAGTATACAAATAATGCATTTTATTCAGTTTGCTTCATTCCCGCCAAAATCGTCCTTTTGGCACCGTCTTTTGACGTTGTCAGTGCCCCTCAGTATTGTGACGTTACCATGGACCTTTGACGTTCTACACAATCAACAAGATTTGTGTGTAGAAGCCATAAATGTCCCTTTGGCAGCAAGAGGGTTAAGTCAACAAGAACTAAATTGAAGATATAAATATATTTTTGTATGAAATACTGTGAACTGAAACATTACAGTTGATTAGAATTTATCCTGCTTCAAAATTTCCAGTTTTCCTGGATGTTATTGTTAAATGAAATATGTGGGGTGAAAACTGGCCTACACCGGTACCACACATGCTATTTTAGTGACAAATTTTAAGTGTGCAAATGAAAGAAGCACACATCCCCTTTTTTGCATCACTAATGAAGGGGTTTAAAGGTCATTTTTAACTTCACAGTAATAAACACAACTTTATTCACTTCAACAAAGGTTCTAATAACTTCTGTTCAATAAAGAACATCTGTATTCTGAGAATTATTTTCCCCTTTTCTGATAAATATTAACAGTTAAATATATGATGGACATCACATTCTTTAGTGATCTGAAAGGATGCACAGTCATGGTCATGCTGTTTAAATGATGCACAATCATGATCATAGTCTTAAATGATGCACAATCATGATCATAGTCTTAAGTGATGCACAATCATGATAATATTTATAAATGATGCACTATTGAGTATTCTTACTTGATGGACAATCATGATTATATTCTAATTAAAAATTCAATTAATAATTTTTTTTAATCAGGAAAATGGTTTCAGACGTTCAACTAGCAATCTTTGCCAATGCTCTTGGGGTGTCACTCTTTCTGTTGGTTGTATTGTATCATTATATTAGTGTCAACAATATAAAGAAACATGACTAAAGATAGATCTTTTGGTGAGTATATGTATATTTTATTCCTGTCCAAATTATAATTAGCTTGACCTCCCATTTGGGCAGTTTGTATGTACAGGTAGAAAATTACCATTTTTTCCTTTCTGGAAATGCCTACTCAATCTTATAATATCAAAGCTAAAAATTTGTTGTAAATTCTTTATTCATCTTTCAAAATTTGGATATATTTTTCCATCCAATAAAAATTAATCACTTCAATGCAGAGTAAGAGTGTAAAGAGAATCTGTTCCAAAGAAACACACATAATTTATTTACATGTACATGTACTGTGAGAAAGTAAACAATCCATTTTTATTTCATTCACCTACATGAGATGACCCATATCTCATTTCTATTACACTGGTATTCACAATCAGTCTAATGATTTTATGAAAGCCTGCTCAAGACCTTGTGCTTAATTTTGAAGAAGATATCATCTTTCCTATCAATTTTTAGATCACCTTGCCCAATGACATATTTTGCATGTCTGATTCAAATCATGTCAAAAGTATAATCAATTCCTTCACAAAAATTTCCATAAAAATGGTATTTGTTGCTATGCTAGTCTCACAGTATTTCAGAGTAAGAGCAGACTTGTTGGTTTTTGATCAGAATAATGTGTCCAGGTAGGGCGACGTGTCTTCCTGCAAACTACAAATGTACCTTCGACTAAAATTTAGGTAGCTCACAAAAATCTGGCAACATGCATGCCTTTTTGGTCTAGTAGACTTGTAGTATAGTACAAATCTGGATACATTCACATTAATATGTTGCAAATCAAAATATGAACTTCATAATACCAAAAATTAAATTTATTTTGTTTGATGATGCCTACCCACCTATAAAGCAGCCTACCCCAAAAAATTTTATGACACAAATCGTTTCAATTTTTTTTTAAAAGATTTTTCCGGCTCCAATGTCATTTTCTTGTCTAAAATATGCAACTTGTGTTGTTAGCCAAAAAAATAAAAATAAAACCCCTACCTACCTACCTACCTACCCAACCCTTTGAGGCAAGAGTAGGCAACATCAAACAAATAATTTTAAGGGTGGTTTTATTTATCCTGGAAGTTAGAATCTGATTCAGCATGTCAAGTCTTACACAAAGCACAATAAATTCATAACCAGTGATCCTATTGAAAATGTATGTAATATTTGCCACTGTGCATGCATGGCATTGTCAGTTTGTTTTCGACTTGTGAGTTTGAATGTCTTTCAGGTATCTTTTGCCTCTCTTTTAAGTGTTCATCCATAATCATGTTTATTGATTTATTTAATTAATATTTATCTTGACCATGAACAATTTGAAATTTACAATGAGAGTAAAACAAATTGATGGCTAAAACGAATTAAGATTGCATGAAATAATATCAAAAGTTCCCATTTATTGAAAGTAACCTTGATATTTAGTAATTTCTTTTTTATTTTAAAATACCCAACTGATATATTTTATATTTATATAAGTACTTTGTACATGTATATGCAATGCTAGAATTATGAAGTCATTTAGTTTTAAAATACTTTTGTACATTTAGAATTTGACATTAGTGTTTTATTTTTTAGGTAACCAAAAAGTGAAGAGTGCATGAGGTGTGGATGTGTAAATGAAGATGAAATTATTAAAAACACAAATTAATTGTTCCTGTAATTTAGAACCTCTGTAATAGATTACATATTATATATCACTGTGTACATCTGTCAGTCATAAAAATGTAAGAAATTTCTCAGTTTTGTTTGCAGTTTTTCAAAATGAGTTTCATAGGGTAATTAAACTCTTTGAATGTTCACCGATTTGTGCAAGTATTCCCTCTCATCTGCAACTACATATGGATTGAAGAAGGTTATATATGATCACTAGGTTTTTTTATTAGCGGATGGAACAGAAAATGTTTAGAGTTTTTGAAAAGTGGTGAACCAAAGATTTTGACCACTATAATTTGGAAAAGACTGACACAATTTCTGTATTGCAATAAAAATAATAGTGAGGACCAGCATATTCACTTCAAGGACCACCATGAAAAAAAGATTTCGAAAACTCTGTGTTAGGTTTAAGACAATGGTGTCACAAAGGTTTAGATTGAAGCTAGTTGGAAATTAAGTTTTGGTCTTTATGTCCACTGTTTCGCGTAATTTGCCATTAAAACCAGCAGTGTCAAAATGATTGACCACTGGTTTTGACTCTTAATAGTACTTGATGAAAATATACTGTACATTTAATTAAATACAAGCATTTCCTATCTAAGCAGAAGTACCGTACTGGACAAGACAACATTGCAGAGCTATGGATTTAACTAGATATCATTGAGAAGGGAGCCATCTCTGTGGGCCCCGCTGTGAACAACGTGTGGTAAAACATTTGTATCTTTACCATAGGACATTGGTTTACTGAAACCAAAGTTTTTGACCTAGGAAGTTGTACATACATTATGACACACCCTCTGGTGTTGGTTAATATACATGTCAAGTATAAATTTTGAAATCATAACGGTTCTCAAGATATAGAGCGGACACAATCTTTACCATAGGACATGAGGTTGTCAACTGAAACCAAAGTTTTTTACCTTGACCTTTGACCTAGGAAGTTGTACATACATTATGACACACCCTCTGGTGTTGGTTAATATACATGTCAAGTATAAACTTTGAAATCATAAAGGTTCTCTAGATATAGAGCGGACACAATTTGTTACGGACGAACGAATGGACAGACTGATCGCTATAGGGTGACCCACCATTCGGCGGGGGCCCTTATAATCATATATCAAAGGAACAGTCCTGTTATTAATCTTGCTATGTAGTTTAGGTACTAAATTATGAGAATAAGAACTTATGGCAATAACCAGAAGGTTGGAGCTTTAGCTTTTGGATGTTTGCTATTCACATTTTAAACCTTTTATAATATATAAAAGATTTAACAGGCATCCATAAAAATACTTGACATGGCAACAGACCACAACATTTTCACTCCTCCAAAACCAGAGACCTTCAAATGAAGACAAACAACACATGGTCCCGTTATCCTGGTTTGGTACAGGCACAAAATGGTGTGGAGTTAAACCAGTTTTATGTGTACACAAACTCTCCCCTTTGCCTATCTAGACCATATTCTGTAAAACTAATACATGTACACAATAACAAAAACCTGTGCAGTGCAGTTACTAACAGGATGACTATTCATTTCAACAAGGAGCTTAAACACAGCACATAATTTGGAAAGCATAGTCAAAATATTCTTGCTACAACAGTAAGCAAACTAAGGGAGCTACCATTTGATTTTTATGGGGGGGGGGGGGGGGGGGGTGGGGGGGGCTAGGATGAAATTTGAAAAAAATAGGCAGGACAGGAGTTTTGAGTGAAAAAAAAGGCAGGATGACAATTTATGTAAAAAAAAGTAAGGATAAACTAAAAAAAAATGGCAGGTCCGAATAGAGTGAAAAATAAAAAGACAGGACAGAGATTACAAATAAAAAAAAATGCAGGACAAAATTTTTCATCCTAGCCCCCCCCTAAAAATCAAATGGCAGCTCCCTAAGGTAGCTACATCTATTGTTTGTATCATTTGATCTCAAGATTGATGAAGTGAATTGAAAAAAAAACATGCAACAATGTGCCTCAGAAAAGTCAAACAGGCTTCAAGAGGTCCAATTGGTTGATTTAAAAGATCTTCAGAAAAATCCAAAAATCTATATTGAGGCTCTTACTGTCCTTACTACCACATGCAAATACAAGCGTTGGGCAAACAATTGCAGTATTTCAGTAAGAACAGCAATGTTTTAATTCTTTAATCTGGTCTTGGATATAAATCAGAAATAACTTTGCAATTCCATTAATAGTTACCCTAGCAATTTACCTTTAAGTCTTTTTTCTGGAAGAATTTAAACGGTCTCCTTTGTTCTTGATTGTCTTGTGCTGTTCTGAATGACTGTCAGAAGTTTTCAGTTTAATTATACTGTGACAGCAATCAATTAAACCAGCAGAGTGATATTATTGGATAACAGTAATTGTACTGTTCATTTCAAGATCACCTGACTCTTGAACTGGCAAGGCACCAGCATGCTTTGCACATGGTCAGGATAGCAATTCTATTTCAGTCACAAGATGTACATTTCAGCATGCAAACTTGAAGATTCTTTGAACAAACACCTGCTTCTATTTTTATCACAGTTAAAGGAATTTTTGCACTTATATATTAACAGAGACATATAATACAATTAATGATTTGTATTATATGTCTCTGATATTAAATTAGGTCAACTTTATTTTAATTATAATGTTGATTAATTTCTTTACAATTAAATTGTTTTGAATACTGCATAAGTGGTGAATATTTAGAATTAAAAGGGAAAGTTTTTTTTTACACACAAACATATATTATAAAGATCGTATTCTATTATTCTATCCATTATGTCGATCTGACCATAGATATAATAGCCATAGTGGCTATTATATCTATGATCTGACGTAACATTCAGAAATCGGAAGTCCAAAATTTTTATCCGCTTAATAGACGTCATGTATTATAATAGCAAAACGTAGTCCAATTTTAGCCTCCTCTGATATAATTATTGACCGCGACGACATCATATATGACTTAAACATTTAATTCCAGTTACGCAGTGATCATTCTTCTATTGTTCTCAATCTGAGACAACATGACACGCAATCACAATATATATACGAAAAAGAGGGGGATGACACGATTTTGGGATGTGGGATATAGGGAACAAAAAGGAGGGGTGGACAGCTTTTGAGGGAGGTGGGGGGGTGGGAGAAAACTGAAAAAGATTCTAAAAGTGGGAGAAGGGTGTCAAAAGAGATCGGGGTAAAAATAAAAAATAATTAAAATACGGGGTTTTCTGAAATGAGCACCCCTCGAAAAGGTACGCCGTGACAAAAGAAACAACATCCCGCCTCTAAAGAAGGAACATATTAAAACAAAGCGAACGAACGAATATCGGGTAAATGACAACAGATTTTTTTTCTGCAAAAAAATGTAAAATAAATTATTAATAATACAGGATCAAGTTCGGACGTAATAAATTGTTAGTATACTATTTCAAGGTTCAAGTAATTGATTATTTAACGCTAACACTCATACAGTCTTTTCAATTCGGCAGCAACGATTGGAGCTTGACCCACACCAGTCACCGATTAACATATAGGTATTTCGAATACTGTTCCTGTAGGGAAAAACTATCTTGCTAAAGAAGGATTCATTGAAGACAAATTGCATCCTTTCAATTCAAAAAGGTGTGCAATGCGTGAAACTGACGGTAGCTGTTTGAAATTTATAGGGTGTTTCCTCGATTAAGACGAATCTGCTGTATATGAAATGCATGAATACATTCATTGAAATATCTATGTTTTTGTACAGCAGTTTTAAAATGATTGCAAACTTTAGCTTGTATTCTTAATTTTTTTTTAACAGAAACTGAAAGCAATTTGAAGACCAATCAAACCCGTTTTAATTATTGGCTATCTTATATATTCAGGATCCCAATTTATTTATTACACATGGAATTGTAACATAGCTTTTAAATCTATAGAACCAGTTTGAAACCTCAAATTTTTACTTAAACCAAATGGTTTGTTCGAAGAAATTCGACCAAATTTATCTAATCTATTCCTTTTGGAAAATTCACCCAATATGATACAATGAAAGGGATAGAAGGAAGTCGCAATGGAACGTGAGGCCCATTGACTGAGAAATTGTACAAACATAATTGAGGGATCGCCTGTATGAGGAATTCCGATCTAAACATAGCTTTACAGGTTTTGGTACTAATAGTGGAGAAAGGATATGGGGTATATATCCTTGACACAAAATCAGTTCATGCGCAGCAAAAAACACATAAAGCCAAGGAACTGTAAGTTGCCCTATTTTGCACTCACGAAGGGATCAATTCTTTCGCAGTGCCGTCCGTGTCACATTTTGTTTATCTGATCTCTAAAATATGATGACAAATTCCAACAAATTTTACCTGTAGGATTAGAGTAACCTTCTTAACCCCTTCCACCCATAAAAATCAGATGTAAAAATTAGAATTTCTAGATTTAAATGAGATTATTTAAAAGATTTATCGGATTCAGTAGGGTTATAACTTTATTTTCGTGCAAGATGGGTAAAAACTGGGTACAATGGATAAGTCTAAGGTAAAAAAGACGGTAACATGTTGAAAGTCTTCAGAAAGCAATAAACTTGCAGAAATTTATATCATGAAGATTAAAACTGCTTCCTTCTTTACCTGTGACTTGCTATGTTCATTGCAGTGTAGCATCACCCCCGAATATAGGTATCCCGAAGCGGTGGAAAACAAATGTGAAGTCAGGTAAGGTCACATTCTTCTTATTTTCATTATATTCTACGTTTTACTGACAAGTCAAGTTTTGTGATACTGATTTCTAATAATGTAGCTACTATTTAGCCTGATTATGATCCTTAATTGGCTTTCTCTCTCTTCAAATCGTCTAATCGGACCGGGTGGTGCCTATCCTAAGAAGCATGTGACGAATTCAAACTTGTTAAAAACACATAGATATAGGAAGATGTGGTATGAGTGCCAATGAGACAACTCTCCATGCATTTATCCCGAGTCTACTTATGACTATCGGTATATATGTGGTTTGCAGGAATAAATTAGCCTTTGTCAAATAAATAGAATTGGAGACGGTTGCGTTACATTTTCTGGACAAAATGTGTGAATCTTCCAAGGAACATGTGTTTTAC